TCTTGCTCACATTTCTGGCTACTCCTAGGTACCCCTCTACCTGATCCCGTCTCTTCTGCCTCTTAGCGTGACCAGGAGTGGACAGAAGCTCCCACTCTTAGGATGGAGCCTATGCCCTTGCTATGTCCTTGTCAGCAGGTGATGAGGGGTGGGCAGTTCATGACAAACTCCCCTGCAGACTCTGGTCAACCACCCTTTCTGCTCCCCCCAATCTTAGAATAGTCACAGAACCCCAATCCAGAGATCCTGCCATCGGACTGAAAGGGAGGCTCATTGAAAACCCTGAACTGAACTTCTCCATGGGTGGAAAGAAAGGTTTATTGGGAATCATACTGCCAAGGCTGTTTCTCAGGATGAGGGGCAGAGAGAAGCAAAAACGGCAGAAAAACAAGCAGGTTTTATGACAGTCCGAGGGGGATGGTCCTCGACCCCATACAGGCTGTCCAAAGCAGTTGACCTTTCGGGGATGGGATTAAGGAGGCAAACAGAAACCGCCTTACAGCTCTGCCTTTCTGGCAAACAGAAACCAACCTTTGGACTTGTCCCAGCCAGAGCCCTTCTGTTTAGGACATTGTCACCAGCACTGCCATTCTGAGGGTCTGCTTTGGAGGTCAAAGACGCCGACTGTCCCTCCTGTGTCCTCCTCCTTTGCTTCCTGTCTTCATGTCATTCCTCCATGTTCAGCCCACCTCTCCTTTCATTCCATCAGCACTAATTATGAGTGCTGGGTGTATAACGGCTAACAAGACAGACAAGACTTCTATCCTCGGGGATGGGGTCCAGTGGGACAGACAGACATTAAGTCCACCCGCAAAGGAATCACAGCCATGCATGCGTATTTGCAAAAGGAGATGTCAGCACGGGGAAGCAGCCCAGGGCCCTCTGTGATGGGCTAACAGGGTCAGTTTAATTTGGGTGCTCTGGGAAGGTCTCTTCGCGGGTGTGATAATTAAGCTCCCTGCTGCAGGCTGTGCTGGAGTCAGCCAGGAAAGTGGGAGGGACACTGTCCCCGGCAGAGGGGACAGCAAGGGCAAAGACCCGGAGCATGGAGTGTTCCCGGAGCTGGAGGCATGCCAATAAGGCTGGAGCATCCAGGGAGAGAGAGAGAGAGAGAAGATTGACACGGGAGAAGCGTGGGGAGAAGGCAGGTGATCGGACGTGATTTACTTTAAGAGTGGCAAGAAACCACTTAAGGATTTCTTAGGTGGTGGAGGAAGAAAAGCAGGTTTGCATTTAAATTTGGGGGGATTGGAGGAGCGAGGACTCCTGCGGCGTGGCCCAGTAGGAGGCCACTAGTCCTGGAGATCACAAGAGCACCAGGTCTTCCTCAGGGCAGGGCAGGGGGTGGCCAGAGACAAATGGGTAGCTTCAAAAGGCATTTAGAAGTTTGACCTTGGAACTTCAGAAATGAAGGAATGAGGAAATAGGGAGCGGCGGCGGTACGCAGTTGGGGGATGGACATACTTCCCCTTTGGAAGGCAGAAGCCTTTCTGATTTGTAATTAAGTGTGGTCAGTGCTTTGCTAGAAGAGCACGGAGTCACCCAAGGTCACCCACACAGTGTCTTATAGCCAAGAGTGAAACCCTTGGGCTTAGCCTCTGCTGGGTGTCCGTCCTTTCCCGTGTGTGGGCTAACGCATGACTCTGAGGACCTTCCTCAGGGTGGGGCTGCAGCCTTCATGGCCGTCCTGTTCCACTTTGCATCTTAGGTGGTGGCGGAACAGTGCTGGAAAAGTCACCCTGGAGTACTGGAGGTGTCCGTGGCACAGTGAGTGACCGGTGCCCCTCAAACAGCGCCCGCCCTCCCGACTCCAGCTTCTATTTCTGCCTCCGCCTGTCACTGCCCTTCATGTACCATCCTCATTATCAAATCCTGCACCTTGGAAACTGACAGTGACACTGCTTATCCCTGCACATCATAGGTCCTTATTAAGTTGGACGCCATATGATCTAGCCACCTTATTCTCCTCTTGGGGCAGCCCCCCCCCCCCCCCGTCCTCGTCCCTGGGACCCCTCTCTCCACATGGTAGACAATCTATACCCTGCCCTTTCTTGTTTATTATATCCTTTTTTTCCTTTTTTTCTGAGACAGGGTTCCTCTCTGTAGCTTTGGAGATTGTCATGGAATTCGCTCTGTAGAGCAGGCTGGCCTCGAACTCACAGAGATCTGCCCGCCTCTGCCTCCGGAGTGCTGGGATTAAAGGTGTGCGCCACCAACGCCCGGTTGTTTATTATGTCTTAAGCTTGCTGCAACCCAGTCTCCTTCCCCCACCCACCTAGGTCAGTCTGTACCCATTGCCACTCATCAGATCCCTATAAAGCTATTTCCCACCCTCAGCCTGTCCGTCTTTACTTTTCTGCTCTAGACCCTTCAGAGATGGCCCGTGGCCCACCGGAAGAGCTGCGAACCCATTCACTGACCGGAACACCAAGCTTTGGTGGAAATCTTTCTCCCCGTCTCTCCATCGGTGCCTGGAGGCTTTGTGTCTCCCAGTCTCTCTCCACATCCCTGTCTCCAACCATCTCTCACTGTGCAAACATGACATCCTTAGAGAAGACTTCCCGGGCCCCCTCCTTCATCCCATCCATCTTAGATCGTCTCGGCTTCCGGGGCTCCTCCAGCACTGGGCCTGTCCTTCACCATTTAGCTACGGACACCCGTCTTATCCCATCATTACTTATGCAGGAGTAGAGAGCAGCATGGGAGGGTGGCCCAGGTCCTGGAGAGGTTGCTCAGAAGCCTGAAGCATGTTTCCTGGGAGGTGATCCCAGAACCCTGGGAGAAATGTCCACACTGGCCAGAAGCCCCTGGCATGCAAGGTCTCAGAGGGGCTTGTTTCTCCATCCACTGATTCGGCACAGGGTGTGGCACTCTGAGGTTTAATATGTGGAGCAATTTACATCAGCCCACCCTCTCCATAGGCCCTTCATTCAAGACCACTTTACTCCTCTCTCTCTCTCTTTCTCTCTCTCTCTCTCTCTCTCTCTCTCTCTCTCTCTCTCTCTCTCTGTCTCTGTCTCTGTCTCTGTCTCTCTGTCTGTCTGTATGTCTGTCTCTCTCTTTCTCCATGAAGGACATTTTATACTCAAACCACACTACAGACTTTTGAGGGTTGAATGAGGCCCCACTCACATTAGGCAACTGCTTTACTTGGCCTCTATTAATACAAATGTTAATCTCCTCTTTTAAAATGTCCTTGGAGACACATTCAATACAGAGACCAAATAGTTGGACGCTCCTCGTTTCAATCAAGTTAACACATAAACTCAGTCATCATAGCTACTTCAAGAAAGTCTCAATTTGAGGAGACACCTAGGGAGGAGTGGGCCTAGACCTGGCCTATGCAGGATAAGCTAGATAATCCAGGTAAATAGACGGCATATTCAAGGACGGGGGTGGGGGTGGGGGGGGACACAGTTGTCACTGTCACAGAGAGCAAGGAAGCCAGCGTGTCCGGAAAAGAATGGACCAGATGGGAAGACACTGAGAAAGAATCTACAGAGAGATACCATGGGTATTTGGTTGGTTGGGTTTTCCCTTGTTTTGTTCAGTTCTTGGGGAAGGGTCTTACATATCCCAAACCAACCTTGAACTCTCTATGTAGCTGAAGGTCCCCTGGAAGTTTTGAGCCTCCTGCCCCCCCCATACTAGGGTTATAGATGTACGCCATCACACCCCATTTCAGTGGCGCAGAGGACCAAACCCCAGGGTCTCATGGCATGCTAAGCAAGCACCCTACCAACTGAGCTGTCCCTTTAAAGTGATGTCTTTAAACGGTCGCTCTGGTCGCTTTGTGGAGATGGGACTGTGGACAGCAAGTGTGGAAACAGGAATCTTGTGAGGAGGTTATAGGTCTTGTCTTGAAGAGGTGGTGAGAAGTGGTTCTCAACTTTCCTGGTGCTGTGACCCCTTAATACAGTTCCTCAGGTTGTGGTGGCCCCCAACCATACAATTGTCTGGTTGCTATTTCATAACTGTGATCTTGCTACCATTATGAATCATAATGTAAATGTCTGAAATGCAGGGTATCTGATATGCGACCCCCACAAAGGGTTCAAGACCTGTACTTTGAGAACCCCTGAGTTAGAATCTTCTGAAAATCCAACAATGCGCTGATGCATGAGATAGGAGATCAGGGAGGAGCCAGAGGGATTTTTCCCTTGAGTGGGATTTTCATTTCCTCATGTAGGAACAAGGGCGAGCCCACGGGGAAGCCTGCAGCACTGCGCAGGCTTGAGCAAGCACCGGGTGAATGACCGTATGCAATAGAGAATCTAGAGAAGCCTTGAGAGGGTTGGGGAAGACACAGTCAATGCCAAAGGGAGAGTGTCCCCAGGAACAAGGTCCGTCCATGTGAGAGCCCCTCCCAGCTTGCCTGATGGCCGGAATCCCAAGCCTGTGTGACTCAGAGCAAACCCATCAGAAACATGAGCCTCCCTTCTCCATCCTTGTCTCCGCCCTCCTGCTTGTTCTGGCACAAGCTGCAGCCAGCAGGACTACAGGGGAGACCCAGGGAGCAGGATCCGGGGATTTCCCAGGGACCGTGCTTCGGGGGTGCGGTGGAGTGGGATGGGGGAATGGGGTTGGGGTGGACCGGGCAAAGTTGGGAGCCGCTGGAGCCCGGGGTCTTTCCCAGCCGTTCTCCAGCCTAAACAAGACAGCGAGCCCACAGCGGTCCTGGAGCCCCCTCCAGCTTTGGGGCTATCTTCCCAGGAGGCGCACCTGCTGAGCGAGCGGGGGTAGGAGAGGACTCCTGTCCTCTTCCTCCAGAGAGTGAGCACAGCCCCCTACCCCAACAGGAAGCAGCACAGACATCTATCTCTCTTCCAAAGGTGCCCTGAGAGCCTCACAGGCATATGTGTCCCCAGGGCCTTCTCTGCAGTTTGCCCGGAGCCAGGCTGTCTCATCCGACATTCTGTTCTCTACCCGGGGCAGGTGCTGAGCTGGCCCAGCGGTTATCTTCAGGCGGCCTCTGCTAATGAGCGGTGTTGCTTTGGCAGGTAGACAGCTCTTGCTTGACCCCCTTCAGGAAGACTTGGGCCAACCTGTGCTGGGGCAGGCTGAGAAGCAGACATCCAATCAGCAACCCCTCAGTGTTCTCCCAGCTGGGACCTCTCTGCTCCCTGTGGCTGGAGCCTCGGGGACTTCCAGGTAGGGTGGGAAAGACCAGGCTGTTGGAGAGTGGGCTCCTAGGAAGGTTTTCTACCTTCATTCTGGGGAACTTAGGAAGGGTCACTGTAGCTGTTTAAGACCACGGAGGCTGCAGGGGGCTTGGTCTGGACCCCTCTACCTTTCTTCATCGTACCATGGTTGTCTGTTGAAGCTGACCAGATTCCAGGCCTTAAGCCTTATCAGAGGTGCCCACTAACAGCATCTTCCAGAGGGCTCCTGGTGAGTTGATGGGGGTTTGGGTGTGCGGGTGCCGGGGAATCCAGGACCTAGGAGATCCCTGGGATGACTGAATCCCAGTCATAGCAGGGGACCGTGAAATCCTCACAGAGTACAAGAGGAGCCGGATTCCAGCTGCCCCACACACCAGGCAGAGCACGCAACCGCTCGGCTCTCTGCCAGCCTCCGCGTAAGAATGGGTGCCCCTGGGATTCCTGTCACCTGCCTGCCTGCATCCCTGGGCTCTGCCTCTTTCCCCTTCCCTCCTCCACCCTCTTTCTCTCCAGGTCCTGGCTCTGCTTCCTTGAACCCATCTGCAGATGCAAGCCCCAGCCCAGCCCCCAGGGAGAGGCTGCACCTTCATGAACCTTTCCACAGCTGTCTCCTTTGGATCTTTTTGCGGTCTGGGCTTGCTGTTCTCTCGACAGTAGTCAGGAAGCCCTTACCCCAAAAAGTATCTACGGGAGGCTCGGTCGACAGGGGGCCCCCAAGGGCTCCAGGTGAGTCATATCATACTCAAGAAGACCAGGTGACCCCTGGGTGACCACAGGTCACAGAGGTTCTCAGCCTTCCTAATGCTGTGACTCTTTGGTGCAGTTCCTCATGGTGTGGTGACCCCAACTGTAGAATTGTTTTCGTTGCTACTTTATGACTGTAATTTTGCTACTGCTACGAATTGTAATGCATATAACTGATATGCATGATATCTGACATGTGACCCCAAAGATTGAGAAACGCTGCCCTAATGCTTTCTGTGCCATAGTCACTCCTTGCCTGGTAGGCATGTTTAGTGGGAGTGACTCCAGCCTAGGCCAGACAATGCTGCTCCAGTGGAAGCTGTTGGCCACTATGGGCACTCCTGGTAGAACCGTCACTCGGTATGCTCAGCCCTCCCTGTGTGTGTGTGTGGAGTAGACAGGGCCTGGCTGATGACTCCTGCGCAGAGAGACCTGTGACTGGGAACACCACAGTTGATCCGGTGGATCCCAGCAGCTGTGTGCCGTGAAGATGGTGAGCTTCTTGCCAGGATGAGGTGTCTGCCGTCTACCCTCCATCCTTCAAATGAAATCCTTGACTGCTCAGGTAGACAGAGTGGATACCATTGCTTACTGCTGGTTCAGAGCCCTCTAGAGGGAGGAGGGGGGATTGCGCACACTGGAGAAAAGGGGCCGACTGGGGGAAATCTAAGTCATTGTCCTTAGAGGGGGCCACTTGGGTGCACTGAGGAGGGTTCACAGGCAAGGGGTGAATTAAAATCCAGGGGATCTTTCTAAAGGTGATGCCCTGTTGGGATAAAGAGCAGAGGACCCACATAACGTAAATTTAAAATCGCCAAAGGTAATAAGGATTACTCCCACCCAGCCCCAGACTCTGCACCCCTTGGGATGGAACTGGACTGCAGGTGGCTTCTGCTAGTTTGACAGAGTTGGGGATGCCTCTGCAGCTGTGGTGAGGTCACAGCAGGTCAGGGATGGCCACATGGGTACCCATCTCATTCCCCTCCTCCCCCATCCCAGGGGTTGGGGGCAGCCCAAGGTGAGGAGTACGATGTCAATCTCATTGTCAACAAAGCCACCAATCTTGGGAAACAAACCCCCTAGAAGATCCCATCCCTGTGCAGAAGCCACTGGAGGCAAATCTAGGGAGACATGTGAGCTGTGGCCGGGCGTGTGAACCTCTCTGATTTCAAAGGTGCCAAGGGATCCTGAGTGGATCTGGGAGTGTGTGTGGGTGCGTTGTGGCTGTTTAGGAAGGAGAGCCGAGTTCACAGGTCAGAAGCGGGGACTGTAGGTGTGTGGAACAAATGCCCGCCTTGGAGACAAGCAGATGTCAGCGAAGAGAGAAAGAAAGAACTCCGACAGGCAGACGTCAGCGAAGAGAGAAAGAACTCTGACAGGCCGTCTTACAGGGCTGACTCATCCTGGGACCACGGGTCCTGATGAAGCCTGCCTTCCCAGTTCTGACCCCAAACAAAGTAGGTTTGCTGGGCCACCAGCCCCAGCGTGCGGGTGGGAACGGAGTTCGTGGCTCAAGGGCGGCATCGTGTGGTCATCGTGGGGTAGTTCACCTTACAGACTCCATTATGAGTGACCCTGGAGGACAGCAGTCTTTCCCAGATTAGAGCAAAGCAGTTCCATCCCAAGGGATCCCAAGGGGTGCAGAGTCTGGGACTGGGTGGGGGTAAGCCGGAAAGTCTGCTAATGTGAGGCGACGTCCAGTGAGGTTGTTTACAGCTTGCTCATCACCTAGGATAAATCACCTCTCAAAACGGGTTTCTGGGTCTACAGCCTGGGCATTTGACTGCCCCCAATCCCCCCCCCCCCGCGCGCTCTTCAATCGTCTCATCTCAAGTCACAGTTATGCTCCTTCAGGGAGCTGTTCTCATCAGAAGGCATCTTTCAGAAAAGATTTCAGCTCCAATGCATGGCCTTCTGAGACTCTGAGATCTGGCGTCAGAGCCCAGCCTTCCAGGACTAGCTGTGTGCTCCTGAGAAAGCCCCTAACCCTTCCAGCGCTTCCGCTTCCTCCTCCCCAAAACAGGGTGAGAACGCTCGCCTTACAGGACCGTGGGTCCCGAGGCTGGGCCTAAAGCATGTCAGCTCCGAGGGGTGTCTGCTTGACCACCTGTGTCTGGAGGCTTGCTGCTCGGGACACAGTGGGGGAAGGTGGCCACCTCTGCGGGGAGCCTGGGGCGTGGGGTACGGGACGGGAGGCGGGTGATGAGACCTGAAGAAGGCAGAGGGCGGTGTTCTGCTGCAGCTCCCGAAAGTTCCGGAACAGGGACTGGGAGGGATCGCTGTCTAGCTGGAGAAGTGTGGGGGGGGGTTGTCATCAAGCCTGGGGAGGGAAAGAAAACGAGCAGAGAAGCTCAGGAGGGGCCAAGAGAAATCAGGACGGAAAGGGAAAATGGAGAGGCGACATGAGAGATCTCTCTGATGGCTAATATCCCCTCTCAAGAGGTTCAGGGTGCTACTGGGGCACCTGGGTAGGGTGCGCCCTCTCCCAGGAAGCTGAAGGCTGGGGTCTGTTCCGTGTGGGCATATGCTGATAAAGAGGCCTTGGGTCAATCACCTTCCTCCTCTAGACATCCCCATCGGTATAATCTGAGTGTGTAGAGCATCTCAGATTCCACCGGCTCCCTCCCAGACTCACCCCTCCTAACAGGCAAGCAGATCTAGGGCCCCATGCTAACACAAGAATGGGAGCTGTTCCAGCATGGGATGGGTTTGTGGGTATGAAGGAGGGCGCCTGAGATCTGGGAGGAAGAGGCTGGAGAAATTAGCAGTAGTGAAGAAACCTAAGGACTTCCCTGAAGTTCAGCTGGAACACATCAAAGGTGGCTGGAGCTATCTCTGCCCCTTAGCTTAGCAACACGTGACCCCGCATGCCAACATGACATCAGCAGCTCCGTTCATCTGCCCCACCTGTGAGCCTGCCCTCCCCTCCTCCAGCCGCAAAGCCTCTCTGTTGCTCCCAAAGGTGGCCTGGTCCAGCAGGATCTGGGGGAGTGACAGTGGGAACTTCAAAGGACTCAGGACTCCCCGGATGAAGCTGGCATGGAGGGGACAGGCGTCATCGGAGCTTTCGCTTTTGCATCTGTGCCCTGAGTCCTGGGGCAGCTGCTGACCCCAGTCAGACAGCATCTCTGCTCTGGAATCCTGCCTCCCTCCCTGTCCTTTCCTCCCCTCCTCTTCTTTTCTTCCCCTTTCTTTTCCAGAGTCTGCACCCTGTCCAGCCAGGAATCATCTCAGATCTGATTCTGCGCTTCAAGAGTTCCTGGGGTCAGTGTATCACCATCTTGAAGGTGTGGGCAGGGCATTCAGGACGGGAACAGAACTCATAGACTTGTGGTCTAGGACATGACTCCTTTGCTGAGAGATCAAGAAGTCCCTCTTTAAGATCCTTTATGCCAGGCTGCAGGGTCATTGAAACAATCCAGGGCTCAGTGTTTAGGGGCAGAGGGGCTGGGATTAAAGGCGTGCGCCACCACTGCCCGGCTGGTGCCTGTTTTTTGTTTGTTTGTTTGTTTTGTTGTTGTTGTTTGCTTGCTTAGTTTGTAATGTCTTCAGAGAGCCTGTTCAACAGTTTTTAGAACCTGATGCTTTCATCCAGAGCTGCAGGTGGAATCCAGAAACATCATAAGAAGCCTCTGCTCACACGGTTCCCTCTTCAGCTTTGGTGGAATCATGAGAAAGGAGCCCAGATGCTGACACTTGGAAATGGGAGTTGCTGGATGCCTAAGGATGCGATTCTACAGAGAAAGAAGAAAGGTAAAGAGAGAACTAGGTAGGACTTCCTTCTGGGTAGAGAAGCAGCTGGGGTACCTGGAGCTCGGGCATTGGGACCTCCAGGGCTGTTGAGGTGGCTGGGGCAGCCAGCTTCCTGTAGTCTCATTTTTACCCCACATCTGGATGAAGGAAAAGGGCTCAGTTTCCATGACCATGAGATCAAAAGGATACAGGACAATTGGCTGGGGTGGGTGGAAGCCCCTTGGGTGTCCATTTCCGCATCAGAGAAAGACACATTGTGAACACTCACTGGAGACACAGGGAAGCCCGAAGAAGTTTCTCCCTTGTTGAAGTATTTCAACCTTACAGCAAAATACAAAGAGAAATAGCAACAGCCTCACGCCCACCCCAGGAAGGGGCTAACATTGTGCTACACTTAAATCTGATTCTGAAAAAGATAAAACAGTACTGAAGCCCCCCTTTGTGCCCCCTCCTCTCTCCAGATACACAGCCACTTTCTTGCAATCAGCGGATATTTTTCCCACACATGTGCTCTCCCTCATATTACTCATAAATTACACCTAGCAATACTTGGAGTGCTTTTTACTTTCCACAAGTGATGTCACAGTGACCCTATCTTTTGAGAACTTGCTGTTTATTTTAAACCCAGCATTGCGTTTCCAGGCACACTCCTTTTAACGTCTGAATAACTGGACATCACAAGAGAACCACGGTTCACGCCCTCGCCTCCCAGTGGACAGTCGGCTTGCCACCGTCCGGATACAGCTTGTTCCTTCTGAAACTCATGTTGAAATCTATTGCCCTTGTGTCAGTGTTTGGCGGGGGCCTCCATCCTCATGAATGGCTTAATCCATTCATGGGTTGATAGATTAGCCCCAAAATGACTTCCTTATAAAAGCGAGTTCTCACTTGGAGGAGTAATGCATGCTATAAGCTCAGGACCCTAAGTTTGAAGCCAGGGTTAGCGACTAACTGTCTTAGTCACTGTTCTCTTGCTGCGATGACTCCATGGCCAAAGCAACTCTTACAAGAGAAAACATTTAACGGAGGTCTTGCTTACAGTTTCCGAGGTTGAGTTCATTATCATCATGGCTGGGAGCCTGATAGCTTGCGTGAAGGCTTGGGGCTGGAGAAGCTGAGAGCTCCACCTCGATCCACAGGCAGAAGAACAGAGAATGGGCTTGGAAGAGACTTCGAAACCCCAAGCTCGTGCTCCCCCCCTCCCCGCCAGTGACACACTTCCTCCAAGGCCACACCTCCTAATCCTTCTAATCCTATCAAAGAGTTCCACTCCCTAGTGACTAAGGATTCAAATATATGAATTTGTTGGAGGGCATTCTTATTCAAATCGCCAGAGCCATTTAGCAAGATCTACCTCAAGAGCGGATGGGAGGTGAGGAGGGAAGGAGGGGAGGAGGGGAGGAGGGGAGGAGGGGAGGAGGGGAAGTGGGCATGGGGAGCCAGAGGAGAGGAGGGAGGGAGGACTGGGATTGGAGTGTAAAAAATAACCTTAAAAAAATGATCTACCTCACCAGGCGTTGGTGGCGCACGCCTTTAATCCCAGCACTCGGGAGGCAGAGGCAGGCGGATCTCTGTGAGTTCGAGACCAGCCTGGTCTACAGAGCGAGTTCCAGGACAGCCTCCAAAGCCACAGAGAAAGCCTGTCTCGAAAAAAACCAAAAAAAAAAATGATCTACCTCAAAGTAAATAAGAGCAATAGCTAAAGATGTGGGTCAGGGGTCCTGGGTTTAATCCCTGATACCACTAGACCAAAGCCAGAAACAAAAATGAATATCTAGGTAAGTATGAAAAGGGGTTGGTGGCAGTGAGATGCCTGGGCAGGTAAAAATGCTTGTCGCCAAGCCTGACAGCATGCCCGGATCCCTGGAACTTACACGCTGGAGGACAAGCAGTTCCCTCAATTGTCCTCTGACCATCACATGTGTGCATGCTACCCTGCACATGCACACACACAGACACATTAAACAAACACTAAACCACAATAACAACAAAAAATGCAGTAAGCTCTCTGATGAGCTCGTCCTTTGTCACCCTGAGGTCTGCTCTGCCTTATTTTGGAGCCGCAGGAAGACCCTGTTCTGTACAGTCCAGACAATGATCTGCAACGACCATGTTTTAAATCTAGAGAAAGCACGAGTTAAAAGGAAAAAGTCAGCAAGTGCCATAGCAACAGAAACAGCAGCTCAACATCTTCAAGCCAGTCTTTTCATCATCCAGCACAGACGGCTGGAGTAGCCTGGTTGATGAGCAAACAAAGGTTGTAAGCTTGGGGCTTGCAACGTCCAGCAAAAAATTGACTGGGGAAGTTGAGGCAGCCAGCTGTAGTTTCTGACTGAGCTTTCTTTCCATGGATGAGTTTCTTGACACTTGCAAAGGCTTTACCTCCCAGCTGTCCTCAGGGACGTGATGCTTTTAATAATCTTGGCCTGGCTGACTGTTTCCCTCACTCTCTGTTACAGAACCAGGGGGCCAGGCTGACCCAGGATAAGGAGTTTTGAAGGAGACAAGGCAAAACCTCTTTGCTTCCAGAGTCTACTTTCAGGAAACGTAACAGAATGTGACAGTTTACCAATATAATGTGTATTTTCAGACCCTTACCAGGGGACAAGCAGGTGTCAGAAACATACTTTTGTACACCCCAGCCTCCAGAACTGAAAGCTAAATAAACCTGTATTCTTTATAGATTAGTCAGTCCTAGATTTTTTTAAAGTAGTAGAAAATGAACTAAACTTTTTTTCTGGTTTGTCACTATCACAAATAATTCCTCAGTGAACATCTTCAACCGCGTGTCCGTGGTGATGCTGGATTGAGGGAAACGGCTGTCTCAGTCACAGACTTGTGGGTTAATTTGTTCAGTAGCCTTTGCAAACCACTCACAGAATGTGACACTGTGATGGTTAAGTGTGATTACCAGCTTGATTGGCATCTAGGATCATCAAGAAGACACAACTTTGGCTGCATCGGCAAGAGTCACAGGGTCACTGAGGCTTTTTAACCAAGGTCCCAGAACGCTGCTGAGCTGAGACCAGCCGTTGTGTGTCTGAGCTGGGTTCCCTGAAAGGAGACCCTGATTGACCAGAGAAGTTCTCCTGAGGAGGAAAGAACTGTCCTAAATGTGGCTTCTAGGCTGAATAAAAAGAGAAGAAATGGGGAGGCCAGATGAGCACCAGACTTTAATGCCCTCTGTTTGCTGGCTGTAGACACTATATGATCTATTCCCATTGCCACGCTTTCCTACTGCTGTGACTGGCTGACCCTGTGACTTCTAGGCCTTTGAAACTGGTTTGCAGGAGGAATTGGAAGAGTTTGGACCCAGAAACTTAGAAAGCCCTAGAATGCTACAGCAGAGCTTACAGGGCCGTTCTGGTGGGAGGGAGGGAGGCCAGACATGTTGTCCTAGTTAGGGTTTCTACTGTTGTGATGAAACATGGCCAAAGCGAGCTGGGGAAGAAGGGGGTGTGTTCAGCTTACACTTCCACAGCACTGTTCATCATTGAAGGAAGTCAGGACAGGAACTCAAACGGGGCAGGAACCTGGAGGCAGGAGCTGAAGCAGAGGCCATGGAGGAATGCTGCTTACTGGCTTGCTCCCCATGGCTTGCTCAGCCTGCTTTCTTATAGAATCCAGGACCGCCAGTCCAGAGATGGTACCACCCACGATGGGCTGGAACCTCCCCCATCAATCACTAATTAAGAAAATGCCATACAGGCTTGCCTACAGCCCAGTCTTATGAAGGCATTTTCTCAATTGCGATTCTCTCCTCTCAGACAACTCTAGCTTGTGACAAGTTTGCATAAAACTAACCAGCACACATAGGCTGATGACTTTCAGAGGGCGAAAAAGAATATTAGGAATGTAACTAGAGGCCATTTAATGTTACATTCTGGCAAAACAATGTGACTATGTTCTTCTTGCCTTGAGAACTTGAGCAAGGCTGACCTCAAAGGCAATGAACTAATTTGTTTGGCAGAGGAAATTTCAAGACAACATAATATTCAGGATGTGGCATGGTTACTGCCCACTTCTTTTGAACAGATTTACAGTGAGAGAGCAGAAAAATGGGTAAAAGCCATATGAAAATGTAAAGTTTGGAAAGGAAAGACCGTTAAAGTTGTAGATAAGTGATGTGGGAAAATGCTCTTGTGCACTGTCAAGAGTTGTCACTCATCTCATATTGGTTTAATTAAAAATGTTGATTGGCCAGTAGCCAGGCGGGAAGTATAGGTGAGGCTACCAGACTAGGAGAATTCTGGAAAGAGGAAAGGCAGAGATGCAGTTACCAGCCAGAGCAGCGGAAGGAAGATGAGAATCCCTTACTGAAAAAAGGTACTAAGCCACGTGGCTAAACATAGATAAAATTTATGAGTTAAATTAAGGTGTAAGAGCTTGTTAGTAATAAGCCTGAGCAATAAGCCAAACAATTTATAATTAATGTAAGCCTCTGTGTGTTTATTTGGGACTAAAGAGCTGCAGGACTGGACGGGACAGAAACTTTTGCCAACGGATAAGAAGGGTGTGGAGGAAGCACATGTAATTGCTAACGAAATTAATACAACTCAAACCAGGCTTTTCACTTTGCACTGGAATGACTGAACCTGAAGCTGCTGCTTCCCAGGTCATGGCACAAGGAAAGTGACTAATTTGGACACATCCTAAAACGTTCTTTAATTGGTGTCCTCTTCCCTGAGCCAAAATCAACTATAAGGATAATGTAATTCCTGACTTATGTTCTCTTGACTCTACTTTCCCTTAAAGTCTTAAGTTCTTCAGCTGTGAATTCTTTGACCTTTTCTAGAGTTTTCGAGAACCTGAACTTAGTGGCTTCAAAGGAACAAGTGTGTGTGTGTGTGTGTGTGTGTGTGTGTGTGTGTGTGTGTGTGTGTCTTTGTAGAGAAGACAAGTAGAGAAAAGGCCTACTAAGGGGTAGGCTTCCACAATATCTTTCAACAATCCACAGACTCTGGGAAAGAGCACCACCCTCACATTGTGGGTCCTTTCTTCCCTCCTATTTGTAGCGAGTGAGAGGAAGGTGGTCCTACAATGTCACCCTGCAATTCCATATTCCCACAAATGCCCCCAAGTATTCCTCTAAGCTACATCAACCCAGACAAGAAGGAAAGGGGTGCACTCTCTGGGGGTGGCCACTCCATGTGCTCATCTAGGGTAAAGGGCTGGCTTTTGGCTCTAAGCCCAAGCGTCCTCTGTCCATGCCAAAGACTGCTCCTGCCCTGGGCCTGTGAGGATGGACAACTGCCCAAGGGCACTGGCTGCTGACTCCATGCTTCCACCGCAGGGCCAGACAGAACCATTCTGGAACGCCTTTTCCCCACCTCCTTGAAACAATGAGATACCAATACACTTCTTAATATGACTTGAGAAGAGGGAGGTGTGGTTAAAGAGACCACGACCAAATTGCCTGTCTCGGAGGGAAGACATCTCAAGAGGCATAGAGCTCAAGTGAACGAAAAAGTGAAACTCACAGTTAACATGGAACACACTCCTCCAGGAGGGTCTCATGAATGAGTTTTGTGAATACTGAGAATGAGGACCCCCCCTTAACACTGGAAGGCTTTTCTCTGAAAGGGTCATTTGGCCTTTATCAAAAAGGTGACATCTGAGAACCTTGGCTTCTTTGTGGCACAGACCCCTTTCATTCCTGAACAGTCTACCGGCTGGGTGACAGACAGGTGACTTACTCCAGCCTAGAGGGCAGGAGTCCTATCCGTGTTCCCCAGGGCACCCCTTCAAGGACCTCACCTCAGAGTCCCGCCCACCAGCCAATGAGACCTCATGGAGGTGAGGTCACTATATCCTCATTCCCAGCCCAACAAGGGAGAATGGAACTTGAGGGGGGGGGTGGCTGGTGAATACCAGATATCACCACTGATGTTGGTAAAGTGGCAGAGGGCAAATGAGTCAGCAGCAAGTTTAAGCAATGAACAATTGCACCACGGGGTGTTTCTCAAATTCTTGTCTACTTTTAGAAAGTGCGCAATGCCATTCAGTGGGCATCTTGGTTCTGAAATAGCTACGAAAATGTTAAAAATGCTGTGGCTGAAGATGTGCCCGCGTTGACCTCTTTCCTAAAACAATAGTCCACAATTGTGTTGCCAGTCCTTTAGCCAATCTTGCAACCTGGCTGGCCCTTCGGATCCTTGCTGGTGACACGAAGGGAATGTGTGCGAACATCTCTGGAGGTCCCTTCTGGCCTCAGTTTCTGAGACCTGATGATCAGGCTGCGTCTTTACAGGGCCAAGACCACCAGCCAGTTCACTGAGTGTGGACAAAATGTTCTCCCCAGTCGATTCTCTGGCCCACGGCAGATGAAACAATGAGTTAATTGGCATTGGCTTTCATTTCACAACTGGCAGCTCTGGCATCATCTTGACCAGCGGTTCTCCCACAGCGGTGCCCTGACATGCTGCATGCCTGGAGCAGTTTTGAGGTGTGTCATAGGCAAGCGGCTACCTAATAATAACTGCCGAGTCTTTCAAATGATTGATGATCTTTCTTGTTTTAGTCAATTAGAACAGATTCCACGTAATCCTGTAATAATGCCCTGGCCCGTTGCTTGCACTCTGACATGCCTCTTTGTGTGGAAGAAATTTTGTAACTGGCAGACAAGGGCTGCTTGGAGCCCCAGACCTACTGGATGCCATGGGAAGGGTGTCACAAGCCGTACACATTCCATCATCTGCAACAGTCACAGGATGGCTATCAGAAGCCCCTGGTACGTGGTCAGACAGTAAACCGTCAAAGACCCAGGCACCAGAATAACCTGCTCTCAGCATAGCCGGCTACCAGCATCCTATGATTTAGCAAGGGAACTGGAAAAGAACACAGAGAGAAGGCCTGTTTGTTATGTCTGTTCCTTGGTCTAAAAAGAAAGATTCCGCTGTTATCTGTCCATTAATGAGGAAGGGAATGGGGTGTGACACGGTGTGTATTGAGTATCCATCCCCGTACCAGTCAGCCGTGGCTAGTTTAATACTGTTCACCAGAGACTTTGGGTTCTCAGTCTGTGAGACTGTGCTTCCTCCCTCCAATGGCGAAGAGCACTGTGATATACAGGCCACTGAGTTATGATGGATGTGATCTATTTCAATCCGATGCAGAGCCTTGCATTGGTAACTTTGGACTGCTCAGAGCACCCTCTCCCTCCAGGGCAGGGACTGCAGTACTGGTGGCAGCCTGGCATGTAAGCCTGAGTTCTGGGGGACTGTGGAGCAGAGCCCAAACCTGGTCTTGCTGCATGTCAATCACACAGCACCTGGAATATGAAGTCACACTTCATGGTTATAGGCCATTGAGATTTAGGGGTCACTTGTAACTGCAGCACAGACTAATTTTGTGCTGACTAGTGCAGTGTTTTATATAACATAGTGAGGTTTCGAATTTAGAAAGACTGAGGTAGAATCTTAACACTTGCTGACTGTGAACAAATTTATTAACTCCTCAGAATGCAGGCAAACCCAGTTTCTTGGCCCGTAAGATGGCAGCTCTGACTCCTTGCTCACAATGTTAGTATTTATGAAACATCTGACACAGGATTGGTATATGAATGCCTGATTTTGATGATTTCAAGTCGTGTGCCCTAGGAATAGAGGGTGGGAGATGGGGAGAGGAGAGGAGAGAGAGACTAGGAGTGTGATAAAGGGTAATTCGTTATTGGTGTTTCAAAAGGCACCAGATAGTGTGGAGAACACTGACCAGGGACCCCAGGGGTAAGAGAGCATGTGAAGTCATCTATGTCCCCTACCTCAAGCTCACAGAAACTCTAAAAGATAGGACAGGCTCTGAGGTTGTGGTTTACAGTTTCGCTCTTCTATAACCAGAGGAAAAGTTGGGTCTACCTCCAGGAATAAAGGAAGAGATAACAAGACAGAAGAGATTCCTTCCTCCCATCTGCAGCACGTCCTTCCATCCTTCCAACCAAGCCGTGGGGCCAGCAGGGAAGGTGGGGACCATTCCAATTCAGTATTGTCCTTTCCTCCCTGTGCTTGCTTCTCTGAAAACCATCAAGTTCCAGGGCGTCGCCCCCTCCTAGGCCTGACTTAGTGAACTGGGTTAGTCTCCAGCCCAGTGTTCTTTTTATCTTTTGGACTTAAAGGTTACTATGAAATGCAGTATTCCATAAAGCTGCTTCCTGCTCACCATTTTCCTCCTAAATGCCACATCGAGTGCCATGAACTTGGAATTATAAACATGCCATGCCCTGCCCCTTTAGACTCTTTAATTCTGTCTCTGGGAGAGAAGCTCCCTAGACATGTCAGACAGGCTTCATAGCATTTATAGAATAAAGATAGATAGATAGGTGAAGAGATGGATAGATAGGTAGATGATAGATTAGATATAGATGATAAAAGATAGATGGATAGATAGATGATAGAGATAGAAAGATGATAGATGATAAAGATAGATAGATAGAGATAGAATGATAGATGATAGAGATAGAAAGATGATAGATAGATGATCTAGATAGATAGAGATGGATAGATAGGTAGATGATAGATTAGATATAGATAGATGATAGAAGACAGATAGGTTATAGATGATAAAGATAGATAGAGATAGAATGATAGATGATAGAGATATATAGATGATAGAGATAGAAAAATAGACGAGAGAGAGAGAGAGAGAGAGAGAGAGAGAGAGAGAGAGAGAGAGAGAGAGAGAGAGAGAGAGAGAGAGAGAGAGAGAGAGATTAGAGAGAAACACGACATGACCAGGCTACACAGAGCACTGCAATCTCGGGCAGCATTTTCATCAGTCATCATTCTGACCCTGAATTGCTATAGATGAACTTCTGTCATAAAGACTAAGTTCCTAAGAGAATTCCCATTGCCATCAAGTAACTCTGACCTCCAGAAAATGGAGGTCTAAGTTTATATTACCAAAGTATTCATTAGATGTACCTGGGTTTGTGGCAAGTGCTCAGGGGTTATATGTGAAAATGCAAATAAAGTTGTGAAATTGAGTCAAAGAAATGGAGATGTGGTGGGTGTAGTCAACCTCATTTTGATCCCTATCCAAGATTGTACCCTGGCCCTGCTCTGTAAACCAGCCTGGTCTCAAACTCAGAGATTCACCTCCCTCTGCCTCCTGAGTGCGGGGATCAAAGGTGTGCGCCACCGTGCCCCTCAAGGACTCTTTTTTTTTTTTTTTTTTTGGTTTTGAGTCTAGCCTTTAATGACTGAGACATCTCTCCAATCCGTCAAGGACTCTTTTTAAAAAAAATCACTTTTATCATGGAAAGAAACTCTGATCGGACAGGAGAGTGTGGCGCCACTCACTAAGACTCTTAAATTTAAAAGCTTTATAGTTGAAGTGAAAATTGCCTGTAAATGTTGGGTTGTGTGCAGCTGCAGGGGTCTGTAGCACTAGTCAGGAAAAGGCCTTTGTTGAATTCTCAGTGGACCTGTCTCCTGTTGATGTGGCTTCCAGGGACGGAGCGAATAGCCCAAGCCTTGCAGAGAGGAACTGATGCCTGGATTACACCGTACTACGCCTATTGCTGGATGGCTGCTGGAATTGAGGCAAAGGTGGGAAGGTTTAACGAATCTGTGATTTAAGTCTCTCCAAAACGTGTATGTTGATGTCCAAATTCCTGCTGTGTCTTTATTAGCACCTTAAAGCTATGTAAAGCCACGAGGATGAGGACCTTGATCCATGATTGCCTTTATAGAAAGAAGCAACGTGGGCATAAAGATACAGGTGTGCCTGCACACAGAGGAAACAGGCAGAAGGTTGTACTGTGGGCCCAGAAGAGAGGCCTCAGCAGAAACCCAGTCTATGGGCACCTCCATCCTGGACTCCAGCCTCCCAGTCTATGGGCACCTCCGTCCTGGACTCCAGCCTCCCTGTGAGCGAGCAATGCTCAGGTTTCCACTGTGGAGCCATCAGCCCCTGGCGCTGTTAAGGAAGCAAGCTGACAGTGCAGGCTACGATCCAGACTGCCCATTTTCTGTTCTTTTCTGCTTATTAGTTGGTTTCACAAATATTTGGCACCTACCCCAACTCTGAAGACCCTCCTAAGCCTGCCTGAGATTTTTCCACATGCCCAGTCATCCTGTTAGGAAGCCAGAAATTTGGGCCAGGCAGAATGAGTCACAATTTGGCACATTCCCTAGGGGGTGATGGTCATAGCAAACATGAGTGGAACTGGGCTCTGCCAGCTTCTACCTGTCTCCAGCAAACGGGCAGGGAAATCTCTATCCCCTCCGTGCCTCACTGTCCTCATCCGTAAAATGGGGCAAGAACATTGCCCTTCCTCACAAAATTACAGGCGAATGACATAACAACAGGCAAGGAAATGAACGGTACCTGGGACCAAGGTAGCCTAGGAACAGCCTAGCTCAGCGACAGGCTGCTTGCTTTGGCACAAGGGTGGCAGAGACAGGAGTGGGGTGCCGGAGAGGACAGGGTCATCCCCTTCTAGGCGGCCCACACTGTAGAGCGGGAAAGTCCCAAGTTCTTCCCCTAGTTGAATCCCTGTCACCCCCTCTCCTAAACATGGCGGCAGGGGCAGGGCTTTTCAGAGAGAAAACTGTGCATCTTAATAAATCACATATCGAAATCAGGTTTTCCAGAGTGCCGGGCTTGCAGCCAGCCCTCAATAAATGGTAAGAAGCTTTCTGTGTAAAGCATTCTTTATGCGGCCCTCATTGCTGCTGAGGGCCCAGCGCTGGGGTACAACGTGCACACCATTGATAAGAACATTGATAAGAGCATTAACGAATTTGGTTTGATTTGGTACAGAAGAGCTCCACTCATGTCAATGGCTCCTCTGAGCCCTCCCCATATACCCAGGAATAAACATAAACCTCACCCAAGAATGACTCTCCACCAGAACTTGGCACACCCGAGCAAGTAGACCTTCCTGACTCTGGACCAGTAGGGGACTCCGTTTTTTTCAACTCTTTTCCTGCCAATGAGCAAGAACATTGGTGTGCGGCAAAGGAGTGGGAACCAGCACTGGGCGTGACTGCTGATGGGGTAGACAGGGCTCTGCTCACAGTGTCCTGAGCCCGGGAATGACGGACACACGATGCCGGGAGTTTGCTTCTTCAGCTAAGCTCTGTGATAATTGGGACATTTGCTCTGTTTTATTCCCCAGGGAATAAAACTTTAATGACAGTGGCTTCAGGGTCTCTATTTTCACATACCTCAAGATCTTGCTAAGCACACAAGGAGACTCAGGTAGAAGTCACTCTGTGTCTCTCTGTCACCTTCCACTTAAAAGTACTACGCAAGCCATGTTCTCAAATGACCTGGTTTGTACCTACCATATAGCAGACTTTTCAAAGTCAGATGACACAAAGGGTCAGGTCACAATTTAACCTTATCAAGGCCCTGGTTGCTAAGGAACCTTTCTGCAGAGATTAGTGATCATAAATCCCACTGTTTCAGTCACTGTTCTATTGCTGGGAAGAGGCACCATGGCCAAGGCAGCTCATATAAAGGAAAGCGTTTAACTGGGGCTCACCTACAGTTTCAGAGGTTAGTCCATTTTCATCATGGCAGACACTGTGTTGGAGAAGTAGCCGAGGGTTCTACATTCTCAGAGAGACAGACAGAAAGACAGAAAGATAGACATAAACCGACCCCAGTGGCATACTTCCTCCAACAAGGCCACAGCTCCTAATCCTCATTAGTGCCACTCCCCGACAGGTAAACATTTAAATACAGGAGCCTATGGGGGCCATTCTTATTCAAATCACCACACCCACAAAGATTGAGAGTGAGAAAGGGATTCAAGAAAAGAATATCTTCCCACTGGCCCAGGAAAAGCAGTTAGGAGTGAGCTACAAACATTCTGGAAACCTCATACCTCCCTATAATTTGCTTTGTTTCTCTCTACAGGCTACAAGAAAGTCAGGCCAAGAACCCAGAAGAAAGCAAAGCCTACTCCAGAGATTTTGGAAGAGGGTCCTTAGACATCAGAGATCAAGGTTGGAGAGAAACGGTAGATAGGGACTTCTGGAAAATATAACCAGATTTGACACACCCTCAGAAAGACTGAGAGTCAATGAGCTCTACCTGGCTAAAGAAAATGCGCCATAGCAACCGGAGTTGAAGATACCACATATGCCCATGTTTGTATCTCCTTCAGTCTACCCTGTACTGAACTGATATTGAGTTTGAGATTCTTTGTTCTTAGTTGCTTTAATAAAAATCTCTGTTTACATTTACTTAACACCAGTGCTTTAGTTATTACTGCCTTTGAGGAGAGAAGCAATTCAAACCTGGTATGTTCCTTGGTGCCTATCTATCCCAGGTCCAGGCAAGGAGCAGCAAAGGAAACGGAGTCTGTAGGCTCTGGTGAGGGGAATCTACAGTTCTCACAACTGTCACAGTGTCTGGTCAGTACTTACGAACAAGACACATTCTAGGTGGAGGAAAGCCTTAAAAGACAGAGGCCAGACCGCCAGTGTCCTGAAGATGAATGAGTAACAGAGAGAGGAGATGGGACAACATTCCACAGAGGTACCGCTACCTTTAGGTAGAAACAATGGTGGTGCCGGTGACAGGTACTTTAACCTCTAGTTGCTGAGATGGAAGGAATGAAAGCGACACCTCCCCAGGTCCTCCTGACACTCGGAAACAGTGAGTGACAGAAACATTCAGTGTAAGCTCAGACCCTCTGAAGTTTCCAAGAGGCCAACGGATGCCCTTGGTGTTCTGAGATACCCTGAGATAACTCATTTGGTTCACACACACACACACACACACAAACACACACACACACACACACAGCAGTGTTGGAATCCCAGCAAAGATGACAAATTACTGTATCAGAAATTCCTGTTCATCCCTCATTCCCAGCCGCTTCCTACTAGTTGGGAGTTATGTGACATGACGGAAACATGACAGTTACTTCTCATATGAAACACATTCAGAGCTAGCAACTACCAGGAGCCACATACCGAATATTGGGCAGGGTCTAGAGGAGCCTCCACTCTGAACTCTGAGGAACATACAGCTGCCAGGGACGGGTAGAGCCTGTGTTTGCAGTCAGATGGTCCTGTGCCTCAGTTGTTCTAAACATCCTTGACGGCAGCGTTGGTGGCAACAACCAAAGCCGAGGGGAAAGAACCTCTGTCAAGATGGGTCTGGAGGAAGTCACCTTTCTCTGGGCCATTTTCTTCAGTCGACAATGTAGGGGGTTGGAGAAGTTGTCCTTTCTGATCTGGTGTTTTCCAGTTCTGTCTTTCACAAAAAAAGATTCATTCAAATAAATACTAAATGGAAAGTTTCCGGTAATGATTTTACTTTGATTTCTTTTCATTTATTCATTCATTTATTTTTTAAGATTTATTTACTTATTACATATACAGTGTTACAGTGTTTTGCCTACAGGCCTGAAGAGGGCTCCAGATTGAAAAGTAGATGGTTGTGAGCCACCATGTGGTTGCTGGGAATTGAACTCAGGACCCTTGGAAGAGCAGTCAGTGTGTTTAACCGCTGAGCCATCTCTCCAGTCCCTTGATTTCTTTTTAAAATTTATTCTTTCCTCATGCATTTCATCCCAAGCCCAGTTACCCCTCCCTCACCCCTCCCCCAACCCCTCCACCTACCTCCTCTCTCACTCAATCCACTTCTGCAGATTTCTGATAGGGTCTCACTACTGTGGAAATGTAGAGATGAACCCTGGATCTAAGTATAAAGAGGAGATAGGGGAACCAAGCCAAGGACATCGAAATGCATCCAGATGCCAGATGATGACCTAGGGGCTTGGAAACATCACCCCCAGCCCAATCTCAGGGTCCACCGAGGAAATGGAGATAGCAACACCTGTCTCTCTGGCTGAGCGGAGATGCTAAGAAGACGAGGAATGCAGACATGTGCTTGGTGACTAGAAAAATGCCGTGGAAATGTCTGGTGCTGTTACCCAACATCCACTCATTTTACAAGCCCCACTTTCTGCCAAGAGCTGCACCAGGGGGTGGGAAGCTAGGGAGGAAGTATGCAGTCTGTTCCCAGGGACTTGTGGGTCTAGGGAGTGAGACACAGGAGGGATTAGAATAGGATGTGGCAAATTCTATAATAGAGGTATGTCAAAGGTACATGGAGCCCCTACAGGGACAGGGACCCCTTCCAAGGAAATGGAGAGGGTTCCCCCAAGAGGTGAACCTTGAAGGATGTACAACTTAGCTAGGTAAGAAAGAGCAGAGTTTCCGGGCGAAGAGGCTGAATAAAGAGTGAGCAAGGGAAGTTACTTCCCACTGAGTGACAGCGAGGGCACATTCCTCAGGCCACGGAGTGTGGGAAGGATGTGGGTGGAGCACGCCCTGTCAACCCATCACCCCAGCTTTAGTGTCCCTCCCTTCTTCCGGCGCTACCTAACCTGGCCTTGGCCTCTGCACCCCAGGCACAATCTGACGGAACTTTCTCCCTTCTGTAGAGCACGTGAGAACGTGTGTTTGTGGGACCCTCAGACCCAGGTCGATTCCTGGAGATCTAAGTGTCTCGGTTACTTTTCTAGTGCTGTGAAGAGAGACCATGACCAAAGCAATTTACAAATGAAAGCATTTCGTTGGGAGCTTGCTCACAGTTTCAGAGGGTGACTCCATGACCATCACGGTGGAAAGCATGGCGGCAGGCAGGCAGGCAGGCAGACATGGTGCTGGAGTAGCAGCCGAGTGTTCACATCCGATCCACATGCAAGAGGCAGAGAGGAAGAAGGGGCGGAGGCACATGCCACACGCTCACAAACGCACTGGAAGTTCAAAGCACTTCTTGGAATTTGCTAGCACAACGTGACACTGCTGTAGGCCCTGCATTTCAGTACAGATTCTCATCACCCATAGCCCCAGCCCTCCCAGAGTCACCGGTGTCTCCTAGGCCAGTCAGCTCACCTGCACAGATCTCAGTACCCCCTTTTGCCTCTTGCTGGTTGGCTTTGCTGTGATTGTTTGAGATGTAAACACTCAGAACACGGGAGGATCAGCCGGGCGGTGGTGGCGCACACCTTTAATCCGAGCACTCGCGAGGCAGAGGCAGGCGGATCTCTGTGAGTTCGAGGCTGGGCTGGACCGACAGCCTCCAAAACAATACAGAGAAACCCTGTCTCGAAAAAAGAAAAAAAAAAAAACACGGGAGGATCAACAACTAGTGACCTGCGCTTTGATACCCCGCCCCCACTCTGATACCCCGCCCCGCCCCCACTTTCCAATTTCTTTCTTTCTATCTTTCTTTCTTTCTTTTCTCTTTTGAGAACACTTTACGGCAAAGGTTAATCTTTGAAGTCCCTAAAGATTTGAACTTTTCGCAGAATTGGCTGCAGCTTCTTGTGGGTTAGAGTCTAATTGGAGTAGAGCAGAAGTGAGCCGTGCTGGGGGGGGGGGCAGGCAGGAAGAAGAGGCCACAGCAGAAGGCCACCAGCTGGGCCAGCATCCTCTGTCAGACAGGGAGCAAAGAGGTGACACCTGGAGTGTGCGTGACGGGTAGGGAGTCAGGGCAGAGGCAAGAGAGCAGGAAACCTTAGCACTGTGGTCTGAGGGACTGTCTGTAGTTGGGTGGTCCTTCTGTCAATCTTAACATCCCAGGCAAACCCCGAAACTATCCATGCTCCCCAGGGCACCTCAAAGCCTCCCTCACCACCTCCCAAGGTCTCTAGATCAGATTCAGTTAAACTCTTCTCCTCGGATTTTATGTTACAGCTGGGCCAGCCAACTACTGCCCCTGGGGTCAAGCATTCCTATCCTTCCCTGGCAGGAACCGCAGGAAGGCCAAAGCTGAATTCGTTCCCTAAGAACAAATGCACATGAAAAACAAGAGCCTTAAATAATGGAAGAAGCAAATGTGGTGGTGCATGCATAATCCCAGCGTGTAGGAGGCTGAGGCAGGAGGATGGCGACCTGGAGAGCTAACTAGGGTTACAATGTGAGACAAATAACCCAAACCAAAAGCACTTTTCTTTTGTTCCTGCCGTCTCTTTGAAACGCGTACACGTTTGTTTAAAAGCTCAGTAAGGGGCTGGGGAGACGGTTCAGCGGATCAAGCGCTCGCTGCACAAATGTGAGGACCAGGGTTCGGATCCCCAGTACCCACATGAAAGACCAGCTTAGCAGTGCACATCTGCCACCCCAGTGCAGGATGGGAAATAGAGATAAGCAGAGCCCCAAGGCTCACTAGTCAGCCAGGCTCGCTGGAAATGGGAAGTGATCCAACCCAACAAGAAAGGGGGAATGACAGTGGAAGGCACCCAAAGTCAACCTCTGTCTCTACACACATGCACACGTGAGTGCATAACACGCACACTCAGAGAGAGAGAGAGAGAGAGAGAGAGAGAGAGACAGGGAGACAGAGACAGAGAGACAGAGAGAGACAGAGAGACAGAGACAGAAACAGAGACAGAGACAGAGAGACAGACAGAGAGACAGAGAGAGACAGAGAGAGACAGAGAGACAGAGAGACAGAGACAGAAACAGAGACAGAGAGAGACAGAGAGACAGAGAGACAGAGACAGAAACAGAGACAGAGACAGAGAGACAGACAGAGAGACAGAGAGAGACAGAGACAGAGAGACAGAGACAGAGAGAGACAGAGACAGAGACAGAGACAGAGAGAGAACAACACCCCGTAAGCCCCTTACTGGCTTCCACCGAGATGTTTTTCCGCAGAGACCTGGAGATTACTCCCTGTGAATGTAATCACAAGATGGCACACCAGTTTCTAGTTTTAGAGAAAAGGAACACAGTTGTGGAAAAGAGAGATATGTAGCCTATTATCAGGGGTTGGAGGTGTGGATCAGTGGTGGAGAAGGTCTTTATCATATGTGACAGTCTGAGTTTGAACCCCTTAGCAGACAAAAATGCAATTAGGAATCATGGGTAGCTACGCACTCCCCCATGACCATAGAGGTCCGAGACACACTGTGTGACAGGTGCTGCCCCAGGACTCCTTAGTGATGGTCCTAAGAACATGCACAGAGTGGGTTGGATCTGCTGGGTGATGCTGAAGATGGGAATCCCAGCTGTCTGTGTCTTGGTGGATTGGCGTCACTTGGCCTCATCCTGTTGAATCCTCCTTAGTTAATAATAAACTGTTTTCTTTTTCCTCTTCCTATGTGGGAGGTCTTGTGAGTTGGAAATATTTTGTTTTTAATCCCAGTTCCCCAGTAATCTCATGCTGCCCTACTGAAGGGATGGACAGGGCCCTCCCAGACCCTTCGGAAAGAGAGAGGCTGGGGAGGATGGAGCGAGCTGAGGGGAGGCACACCCAAGCCAGGTGAAGGTCAGCTGGGACAAGGAACTGATGGCTTAAGCCATCCCTGGCCCAGCCCCAGCCCCCGGGCCTTCCTCGCAGCAGCTCAGGTCTCTATTATGCCTCGACCCGGCTAAAATTCCCTTCCGTACTTCTTGTCCCTCTGCATACAGAGCCAGAGTGTCATCAACCACTGCGAAGGTTTATACATTCCGTTTTCTGTATTCTAACTTGTCTTTGTCCCCAGGGTAAAATTCATTCATGTGGGGCCATTTGTGACAGTTTCTTTAAAAAATCATTTTTTTGTGGGCAAAGACTAAAGTGTACTTGGTTTTTTTCCTACAAAGGAATATGTCAGGTAAATGTTTCAACGATTTTACATTGACTTAAGAGTGGGATGCGTTCTTTTGAGTATTTGGCATCTGGGCAAACTGGGCTACAAAGTATTGATGGTTTGCTCCTTCATCCTCGCTCCCTGCAACTCAGTGGGTGGGATCCCAGAGAGGATGGGCCACAGCACCCTGAACTCTGGCCTGATCACTTGGGGTGGGCTAGCAATTTGGTGTGAGCCTCTAGACGTTAATTCTCAACACTGCATTTGGACCCCCAGGATACTTTAAAAGGATACAGGCTAACGAACAAGCCCCCTCCCAGGGTTCCTGCCTTAAATGATGACCCTACATATCAGGCCTGTCCTTAAAGTGCCTGGGCATCTTGGGGGAATTCTGAAAAGGCCCCTCTGTCTCCGGTTCAGAGGTCACCTGTGCATTCAGAGTCCTTGAGGTGAAGCTGTGCGGTCAAGATCGATCCCCTGTACCACCCTGTGATGCCTAGCACCAAGCCCAGGCGTTCTGATCTTCTGAGGTTGGCTGAGACCTGGGCTCCAGGAACTTCTACAGCATCACCAGGGTGAGACTGACTCAGACAGGAGAAAAACCCTGACTGCTTACACTGGGACTCAAACTGGGGCTCTGCCCGACAACTTTGGGTGAACTAATTGACACCTGTGAGGCCCTACTTTCTCACTTCAAATGGGGATAGCATGAACCACCTTGAAGAGTTGCCCACTGTTGGCTTCCTCCCCTAGTACAGCGTGGGTTGACATCTTAATCACTCTTCCTTGTCAAAAAGGGCAAATTTACCATCAGTAATTAACTCTACTATCAATAAAAATTCATTTCTTATTAATACAGAAGTGCTGCTTCTGCAACCGTGGCAGAAGATGCCAGGCTTGCCTGTCTGCCTTGGCTCTTTGACAGATGTCACTCCAATGGAGTCTCTCCTTATCTCATAAAGCCCTGTCTCGGGAGGCCAGCTCCTTTGAATCAAATTAGAGTTAATTAAATCCTCTCTAAAACTCACTAGGGGAACTCATAGCATATATTCAAAGTCCTGTCAGGCGTGGTGGCACACACCTATAATCCCAGCACTTGGGAGGTGGCGTCAGGAGGATCAGGAGTTCAAGGTCATCATCAGCTGCCACGTGGATTTGAGGTCAGTCTGACAACAGGAGACCCTGAAACAAAGCAAAAGTCCTGGGCGCTAGAGCCTGTTACAAACAAACGGGCCTCTTCTGTTACACACAATCACATTTATATTATAATGTAAACAGGAAGCCACTTAAATAGAACTAAACCTAGGACTTGATACCAGATACCATGGATTCTAGGCCGG